AGAAAAAAACGGTGCTTTTTTATATTGTTTTCTGTTGTGTTGACGGAAGAAACTCAATTAGTCCCCCCCCTCCCCCCCAAATTTTGGCTGGATCCGCCCTTGCTTAATCCGTCATTAATTATTCGTGAATTTTACATATACATATACATCAAATCGTTGTTGTTTGTTTATCAAATTGAAGAATCAAGAAACACAGAAAGAAAAGAAGAGGAGTTGACTACAACGCTGAAATTCCATTTGAAAAAAGACCAGCACAAGGTTAGCTGTGTACCTGTTTACATGTAGCCTAATTTGAAATACCTTTATAAATATATATTTTAATATAAATATTATAAATATAAATTTATATACCATTTATAAATAGTGAACTTTGCAGGAGTAAGACTAGAGTAGGTACTTTTTGCAAGAGTAAGACTACTATTTTTGCCTTACACATGTCTTATGATCCACACTGAGAATTCTCATCCTTATAGACCTTGATATTCAAGTCCAGCACTGACCATTAAACTAGTTACCAACATATTTGATCATCTAACTCTAAATATTTGTTATAACACAGGGTTCTATGATACATCCAATGAGAATCTACCTGAGTACCAGCCAGACTTCAAGAAGTTAAGACAGGACCATCTGGATGGAAAGATGAGAGATGAGATTGAACAGGTGTAAACACTTTGTTTATTTAAATCTACAACAGGAAGATATACACTCAAATCACAGGGCTCAGAGTGTGCATATTTTCTTATGTTAAATATCTTGTCCAGAGTATTGTGGTCAATAGACCTATCCCGAATTCGCTTGACTGACCACGAAACGATGGTTTGAAGTCGAGACTGAACTTGATTCTTTTATTCTTTTATTGTTTCGTGACCAGTCCAGTGAATTCGGGATAGGTGTATTGTAAAATCATTTTGGGTTCTGTGTTCTATGTTTTGAACCAGGCAATGATTTTGAACTGAGTATATCTAGTAACGCCTAGTATTTAGTTAAAGGTTTTCCTCAATTTCCTGGAGATTATATAGATACACATATTTTTATCATTGTTTATCTTCATTAAATCAATTTTTTTTTTGTAAATTTTCAGCAAGAGAGAAAAAAGGACAAAAAACGAATGGAAAAGAAGAAGGACAGTGATCTTCCCAGTGCTGTGATGCAGATCAATAAGTGAGTGAAATTAATTAAGTTTTTGAATGATGAAAAAGGCCGCTCCTGTTTTCACCTGAGGGGAAAAAATGTAAAAATGTCAATGGCATTTTTCGACCACTGCAGGGTTGGCTCATTTGGTTGAGCATTAGACTGTTGTGCAGAAGGTCTTGGGTTCAAGCCTTGGTGGCAGGATCAACACTCAGGGTCTTAAAATAACTGAGAAGAAATTGCTGCCCTTGTAATGACATCTGCGAATGGTTAGACTTTAAAGTGGCTCGGATGACCACTTTAAATGGTGGTCCTGTCTCTCCACAGCTCATCATTACTAACCAAGATCAATGGGATGTAAAAGAACCACTGAGGGGCCTTAGAAAGAGTGCTATATAAATAGTGTATCTTTTCAGTGAAATGAGTCTTTCCTTTTTATGATCTTTTGATTCTGAGTCTAGCTTGTTAGCAATATTTAATCCCTTTAAATGCATTCAATTCAATCTTGTCAAATTGATGTCTTAGATTGATTGTTGTATTTTTTTTCAGACTAAACAACCCAGACCATGTGAAGAAGAGAAGCAAACTTGTTCTCCCAAAGCCACAGATTTCAGATGGAGAATTAGAAGAGGTTGGACAAAGAATATGTTTTAATTCTTTGTGTTTTTACATTAGCTACATGTACACTACCATCTTAGTTACCTTATCACATACACATACTAATTTTCAAGCTCTCCCTGCTTCCTTCCTTTTCTAAAAAGATTTATTTATTTCATCACTTGCTCTGCTTTTGAGCATTTAAAGTTTTATGCTGTTATTAAAATTTTACAAATTTAGTACCTTTTTTGTAGATCGTTAAAATGGGACAAGCTAGTGAAACAGCAAGGGCAGCTGTAGAAGATGGCAGTAGACCATCTGATGCTCTCCTAAGTGAATATAATGTTACTCCTGCTATGAGTCAGGCACTCAGAACACCACGCACACCTGCTGACCAAGACACTATCATGCTGGTCAGTATACTATGGTTATTCTTAGTGTTGATGATATAGAATATTTATTTGAAAAAAACTATTGGTAGTAATTGTTTTAATGGTATTGGTGTTGATAGAAGTGATCATGTGATGTTGGTGGATAGAAGATTATTAAAGCAGAAAAAGGGCCTTTCTCATGCAGCAGCCATGTTGGCTGAAATAATAATCTTTCGACTGTCTATTCTCAAATTCAAGAGCTTCAGAATGAGATTACACTTGCAGATAATAAACATGTCTGCTGTATGACAAACGTCCATTGATGAGAAATGGTTATGGATAGGGTTGCAGTGATGATGAAAGATGATGGCAATGAAGTTTATGCTTGCTGATAATAGCATGGATAACATAGAGCAAATTTTGTATCATTGCATTTGAAAAAGTAATGGAATTGATAATGATGCAGTGCCCACATTCTGATTAGAAAATGTCTAGCCCATATATCATTATTGGTCTCAATTCTGTACTGTAAAAATGTTATGTTCTATGCCTCTTTGCAGTCATACAAATTTACTCTAATGCAGTGGTTTGAATAGTAAGATTGGTTATGCACAGCAAGAATTACTGCACGATTAAGAAGCATTATTAAGAAGGATATTTTTTAATAACAGGAAGCTCAAAATATCCTGGCATTATCAAATGTGGACACACCTCTGAAGGGCGGCATTAATACACCTATGCATGAGAGTGATTTCCAGGGTGTGACTCCAAAACCACAGGACATCCAAACCCCAAATATGTTGTTAGCTACTCCATACAGAACACCTCAAGGAGATAGTACAGGTAGAACCATCTAACATTTTCATAAGAGAAAAAGATATGCTATATATTCCTGCATGTATATGTTGACACCGCCAGTGCTATAGTGAAGTATTTTGTTTGGATTGTGGGCGTGTTCACAAAGTATGATGTAACACACCACATAGCACCCTACCACGCCACATGCAAGTACACCACTCCACTCCACTCCACTCCACTCCACTCCACTCCACTGCGCTACACTGCACTGCACTGCACTACACAACCACACACCACTCCACAGCAAACCACACCACTACAGTGTACATTACACTACACACTACACTACACTACACTACACTACACTACACTACACTACACTATGCAACACTGCACTACACTACACTGCACTGCACCACATGACACCACACCATAAAACACTAGTGTGCTAACCCTGCACTAGCATCCAGCTAGCTACCCTAAAATAATAAAAATAAGAATATAGAGTTCTTGAAAATGCATCTAACAAAGTTCTTGATGCTTTTTACAAAAGGAGCAAAATATAGAGACTAGGTATTTATTTACAGTAATAACTATTAAAATGAATTAACATTAGAATGAATTACAATGTGTTGATAACAAATAAAAATATATAAATAAATATATGTATAACTCAAACATAATATACTTATAATATAACATTTACATTGCAAGATTGTAACGATAAGTAAGTAATAGTAAGTAAGAATGAAAACCATCAATATGTAGTGAATTCATTTAGCTAATTATGATAGAAATCCATGGGAGATGGCAAACAGGGAAAAACTATTGTCAAAGCGGTTGGTGTTACATTTAAAAATGGTTAAAGAGGGAATGTATAAATATACCAAAAAATATAATATACTAAATTCCACCTAAATATTTGGCTTAATTTTTTTGCATGTGTTGCAACCTTTATAAAATGTGTTTGTAGGCAGTACACCACGTACGGGAGCTACCCCACTTCAGGGTAGTGGAGCTACTCCAGGACGATCATCTGTCAGGGACAAACTCAACATCAACCCAGAAGAGGCTCTGATGGAGGAACAGGAATCAGAGTATGCCATGAAACAACAACAAGTAAACTCATCTACCCTATCCAATGGACCCTTCTCAAAATTATTTTAAATGTGGGGCCAACATGGAAATACAAAAGAATTGCCACAAAGTCCATTGACTGACAGAGGAAATCCTCATTTCTTTTGTGTTTTCATGTTAGCCTCACACCACGATAATTTTGAGAAGGGTCCATTAAATTGGCACTCTGATTATTTCAATTCCTTATGAAACCAAATTTGCACCCTGTATTATGTTATGAAATAATAAAATCCATGAATTTTTGTAATTTTTTGAAATCCATTTTTTTTGAAAAAAAATTTCATCCCTGAAAGTTGTCTCAATGATCAATCTCTATCATCAATCTATCAAGCTTTTTTTAAAAAATGCTATTTTTTCTGACCTATTTTGCTGCATGACTAGTAACTTGTGATCAATAGATAAGCTCGGTAGATGGTATCAGTATATGTTATGTTGGAGTCACCTTAAGGGGGTAGGTGACCTGTTAGTGCATATGGCCTAATAGGCTAACTAAGCCAACTATGAAAGGGGTTCTGGTTAGTGATTGGTAGTAAGATGTAACAAGGAGAGTGGATTCTAAGAGAACAGCAAGACAGTAACATTTGTTTTACTCTGTGTGTTTGATATATAGAATGAATTAAAGAAGCAGCTCAAGGCTGGTTTGGCCAATCTCCCAGCACCATCAAATGACTTTGAAGTGGTTCTGCCAGAGGTATAGTATGCAATGGCCTATTATTTGCATTGATATCTGTCCTTTGTTTATTGACCATGTACATACATTTTGTATGTAGGAAACTTTTCGACACAGGGCAGATATGCAAATATACAGACATACAGATATACAGATATACAGATACACAGACATACAGATATACAGATATACAAAAATGTATGCTAAAATCTGAAACTTCCCTCCCCA